GCGTATTGCCACATACAAAATAACGACAGTGATACGGTAAACATGATAATATAATTGCCTGTCTAACCCACAGGATGTGACTGTGTGTCGAGCTAGAGTTGTGACCGAACTGGACAAGGATGGCCAATCGCGCGTCATCAAGTGCAGCTTTGAACACGATCACAGTCGCAAGTTTCCACAAAAGAGCCTCACGGAGCAGCTGTCGCTACTGGAGGAGTGCTCGCGAATGTCACCCAAGCTGATTAAGAGGGAAAAGCGACCGAACTAAGCCAACTCTAGCTTTAAGTCATTGATTGTCCGAAGCACAAATGTTGTCTGGCGGATGGACTAGGTCCATTATTATTAAATAAATCAATTTACTTTGAATCCAAACTTGATATGGAATTAGTCTAAGTTAAGGCTAAGTCTTCATGTTGCTGTTTATAGCTTGATCTTCTACTAATTCGCGCTCTCGTCTCTCTTCCACAGCTTTTCACATTGATTTTGCGGAATCGAAGAAGAACGGCGGCAAGCTGCTGGTCATCAATGGCTTTCGGTTCTTCCGCAACAAGAAGCGAGGCAATTTGCAGTATTGGAAGTGCCGCAACTACTACAAAGAACGCTGCCCCGCCATAGCCATACACGATGAGTCCACGCTGATACTGCGACTGTGTCACCAGCACCAGCACATGGAGAGCAACGATATTGAGATTAAGCCGCTGCCCGGTGCAGTGGCAGGGCGGGAGCCAGATGGGCAGGACCTTGATGACAGGCCTGAACCGGAGCTTGATCCGGAGACCGACAGGGAACTGGATGCGGAGACCACCGATAGGCTGCCCGTTCCAGACCCCGTTCGGCAGCCTGATTCAAAACCCAATGAAAAGTCCGAATCGGTGACCGAAACCGAAACCAATTTGTCCGCGCCACAGGCGACAACTACTCGGCCAACGCCGCCGCTTCGCAACTTAAAATCAAAGCCCTGTTTTGACTTCTAAATGGGATGTAGATACTTAACTCCTTAGTTGATAAGAGTGTGCAATTCTGTGTATTAAAGGAAACCTATGTCAAGTCGTCTTTTAATAATTGTATAGAGAAATGTCAACTTAATCTCTTGTCTCCCACAGAAGACGCCGCTGAAACCCTCACAGATTCTGTACTAACATGTAAAACTGCTCTTTCGTTTGCTTCCAGTTTGGATCCATGGCCGAGGTGAATACAGGGGCAGCCATCCCAACATACAGTTCACCGTCTCGAAGCGCGGCGGGCAGCTGCTCTGGCTGGATGGCATGAAGTTCTTTCGCAACAACACGAATCGGACTAATCTGTACTGGCGCTGTCACTGGTATTACCGCCCCACACGCTGTCCCGTGCTTATTTGCATGAGCAAGACCAACACCAGGGACTTTCGCCAGATACACGAGCACCGTCACATCAGGCCGAAGCGCAAGTCGAAGCAGGATACGACGACGCCCGTGGTGGCCAGCGTGAGGAGTCTGCCCGAGAGCATGGCGGATATGTTCACTATGTAATTTAAGTGCTATCAGCCATATCAGAATGGCCTTCTTGGAGCTGTAAATAAAAACTTGAGAAACTTTAACCGAGTGCAAATGAGGAGCGTCCGACTTGTCAAATTACTTTTTGTGTTTTTGCTACCAAATGGCACGTTCCACCGACACTAATCACAGTTTTTGCATTTCCATTTTCCTCTTTTCAGTTGTGCTGGCCAACGATGAGGTGCCCAATCCGGAGGATGTTCTTGTCTTCTTCACAAAATCACTGCGCGGGCGACCCGCCATCATGGCCAACGGCATACGCTTCCTGATTATGAGTGAGAACAAGAAGAAAATATTGTGGCGCTGCAGCTCGATGGCCACGAAGAAGCTCAAGTGTCCCGCCCGCATTACAATGCTGAAGGAGTCGCCTCCAAAGTTCATCATTGCCAAGGCGGAGCACATGCACGCCGAGCTGAAGCGCAACAAGTACAGCTCCAGCAAGGTGCACACGTTGCGGGAGCCTCGCCAGATGATGGCCAAAATCGATTGTGACATTGAGAATGCGGTCGGCTTCGATCTCCATGAGGAGGAGGTCCAGCAGCTCCACGAACTAACCCATGACTCTATCTAAAGACAGCGAGAGGGAAGAGAGAAAACGTAGAATTATGTGTAAATTTGAGAAAAGCGGGAAAGCCATCAATTATTAAGAATAAATCGAAACTAAATTTTGTGTTAAGGCCAAACTAAAAAGAAAAACTCATTTAAAACCTATTTTTTCCACCCCACCGCATCCCCATTTCATATATTTACCAATTTATACTTACGATTCTTTTTTACTTGTATTCATTTCAGAGTTTAGCTACAGCGTGAGCCAGAAGGGACGCATTCTGCTGCAGCACGAAGACTACTCGTACGTCCGAGAGAAGACAGTCAATGCCAAGATCTACTGGCGATGCACACAGTACACCACCCATATCAAGTGCCATGGTCGAGTACACACGCTCCAGGAACAAATTATCCATACGAGCAAGCATAACCACGCGCCCACTGTCAACGGCCGCAGGCAACCGGTCAAGCTCTTGCCTGTCGGCTAAAGTAGATTTACGTTGTACACTTAAACTTATTCTGTATTCTTTGATCTCAGTTTGATTTCATACTTAATAAACCCCAAATGTAAGCACTAATGTTCCCCTTAATGTAGGTCCTCATTTGAACACATACCAAAACACTGTCCACCGACTCCAGACACTCCCACTAATCAAATGAATTCTTTCTTACAGACATTTCACAAGTGGCTACCTTTACCAGAACTCGTAAAAAGAAGCTTAAATTGCTAATCGAAAATCACGAGTTCGTAATGGATCGCAAGTTGAAGAACAGCGTCAACTGGCGCTGCGCCCGCTATCGGAGTGCCAAATGCAAGGTGCGGGCCACAACACACGTTCTAAAGAACGGCCAGGAGGTGTACCGTATCAAATATGCGAAGCATTCGCATCTGTGACACACAAACCATAACAGTTTCTTTCCACTTTCGATAAATATGACATAAAGTGGAACATTTTGCATGGAATTTTGTCTGGCTTTGCCAGATAAACTTTTTATTATGTGTTTTAGCTAGAATTTTAAAAATTATTGACATATGTTAACGAAAAAAGGCATTATAAATCTTAAAAATAAAATTGAATAACTAGACATATAAGAAGTTTGCGATAAAAACAGGTAATAAATGTATTACCATAGTCTAGTAGCTCTCTCTTGTTAAAATTCTCACTGATAAGTCGTTCATTTTTTTACTGTTTCCTTTTGCAGAGATTATACGTAAGCGTGGAATCATGATTGTTAAGGGCACCAAAGGCAAGCCAAAACTGCTGATGGGTGGATACGAGTACTACCGGAACAACTCACGTGGATCCAAAACATATTGGCTCTGTGCCCGAAATCGTTATCTGCGCTGCGCTGCTCGCATCATCACCTGCTCGTCGACTGGCGAATTGGTCATCAAGAACCAGCAGCACAATCACGATGCTACTCATCAAGAAAAAATAGATAAGAAAAAGCCAGAGGAAGGGCCAGAGCAGGAGTCCTCCAGCTCCAAGTAATTTATTAATTAATTATATTATCTGCCATTAGAGATTTCATTCCATTATCTGATTTTATAACAAGCTTCATTTCTGAATTCAATGTACCTATATGTATGTATATTTATGTCTTCTTTCGACATATCTAAGAAAAGAAGAATCAAACCGGATTTTGTAATAAGAATCCTTTTCAATGTATAATGAACAGTGCATAAAAAGTCTCTATGGGAGGTATTTTAATTTAAATGGATGCATCTACACATTAAAATGTATTAGGTTAGTATTTAAATAATTATAGTTCATTAAGCTTTCCTTCTAAAAGCAATCTGCAGATATTGAGAACTCATCGAGCGCATTGCGGTTAAGACATGCTTATGACTGAAGTTCTTTGTACAAAGAATTCTGTCGAATTCCCATGTTGGGGGCATATTATCAGTAAGTCAGCCAACGAACGTTTGCATCAACAAGCCTTTGTTATTTTTCTGTGGCAGTCCGTAAATTGATACTGCACACAGCATCTCAACCATACCAGTCCCTGCTAATTCCTTGTGTAAACTTTGTGCGGTCTGAGTGCTACATACAAATCGGTTTTTGACTGTCGAACAAGCCGAAGTGTGGAGTGGACAAGAAAGCTGATTCAGCATTCAAAAGCATCTTGAAGAGTCTGTCTCATAAATTCCTGAAAAGCGGCATATTAATCTGCCATTGCACGCATTTGTATACCAACCACTCGTCCACTCCGACAGTGGGCTTAAAAGGTTATCGTACATGCAAATGTGCAATATTTAAAGGAAAAATTAAAATTGAATCAATGCTTTTATGGATGCGTTAATTTAAGGACTTTATTTGGATTTCAGGTGTACATGCTTAGCGACTGCTATAATATGCTAAGAGCCAATCTTAGTTTTCCGCTAACTCTTTTCGCTCACTGTACATCCACGACCATGTGTGTTTGTTGTTTTGTAAACAAACGTGACTAAGAAAAGTAGGAGGTGAGGCAAATATAACGGTAAGGTAATCGAAATTTGGCTTGCAATGAAATTGGTCAAAAAACAACTTGGTTTATACGTACATACAGTGCTCCTTAGAATTTAAAAAAAATATGAAACTGGGTGTTATTTGGCGCAAATTGCAGCACCAACAAAGTTCATACAGCGGTTTTGGTGGCTAAAAAAGGTTATCGATATCGAGTTTGAATTAAAATTTGTATATGAAATAAGTAGTTATTTGAGCTTAACTCTGCTGCTTGTTTAAACAAATAAACTGCTGTATTAAATTGTTGAATACAATTATTTAATAAATAAAAAGAGCAACTCAGCAGCAACTATGAGTTATCGGCTATCGGCTAAACGTCTATCGGCTGCAATCTTCCTTCTCACTCTATCTTTTGCGCTCTGTCTATTCCTCCCTTTATCAGACTCTCGCTGTCGTCGTCATTCTTCATTCTCTTTTCAAAAATCGAACCGAGCGGTCGTATCTGGCGCGTACCGCGTAGATACACACATCCCACAGATACTATTTTCTTAGCTATCGTGCGCGGCGCGCTGGCGCTGCAAACAAGAAAGAAATTTGTGTATTGCAGCAGAAGTTTTCGCTGCTGCGCTCAGCTCGTGCTCTGTGTGTGTATTGTGTTCGGTGCTCGGCCCGTCCCGTCCGTGAGAGCGTGTCGGTCGGTCGAAAGAAAATTCAATAAAACAAAGAGAAACGAAACGACTATTCAGTGAAAATCGAGTGCAAATCAAATTGCCTTGCAACGCCAAACGAATCCGAGAACGCGGAGTTCAAGGTTTTTCCCAGCCAGACCAAGCCACGCCAAAACGAAGTTCAATTGAAGAAGATAAAAGGAAAAGAAAACACAGTGGGAAAACTGCAAAAAAACGAGCTGTGTGTGGTGTGCAGAATTTTGTATACCTTGAAAAAACGAAGTCTGACAGTGCGGTGGTTCTAGTGTGTGTCTGTGTGTGTCGCGTTGAGTTGCGTGTTCCCCGAGTGGGTTTGCAGCAAACAACAAACAACTTCATCTTCAATTCTTTCAATTAATAAATGTGCAAAAGAAACCGAACTTTGTCTAGTTGTGAAAAAATTTGTAAACCCCAATTACTCAGTTTGCTGCTGCTCTCCATTTAATTCGATTGACACAGAGGCAAGCGGGAAGGCAGGCGCAGGCAGAGAGCAGGCGGCTTCGGCGGCGACGGCCCCCAGCGGCAGACGTAATCTAGCCAGTGCAAACGGTGGTGGAGCTTCACATGCTAGCCCCAACAAAAATGTCTTCTCAGCAGCAGCGCAGCAGAAGCAGCAGCACCAGCACCAGCACCAGAACCAGCAGCAGCAACTTTAGCTCAGCTCTCAGCAGCCAGCGTTAGGTCTGCTTTTGCGCAGTTCAGCGCACGGCGAGAATTTTGCCATCGGTTTCGTTTCGGTCTCTCTGTGTGTTTGGAAACACCTTGCTCCAACATTGTGTGGCCTCCCCCCGCTGCACGACCACGAGCCACGACCCGACCCACGAGCTGGCAGTCACAGTTCCAGACTCACTCGCAGTCGTAGTCTCAGTCTCAGTTTCGGTTCGTGCGCGTTTGCGATTCTTCTGGCTGCTGCCCTGCAGCGGAAAATTCGTCTAAAAATCACACCAACAATACATCCAGATACAGATACAAAACTCCAAACTTCCCAGCAACCGACGAGGGAATTTTTGTAATTTTTCCAATGCTGGTTGGCTACGATTTGCACGCGATTCCCTTAGACTTGGACTTGGACTTGGACGTTGCTGTTGCTGCATTTTCATCATCATCATCAAGGAGCAGCAGCAGCAGCAGCAATAAGAACGAGTATAACCAGGAGAACGAGAAGAGGAGCTCCAACATTGTCGCCGTGTCGTTGTCGACGTCGCTGCAGCGTCGCAGCATCGGCAGCAGCCCATTGGAGTCGCCATGGACTACAACTATAGCAGCAACATAGAACAGGTTTGTAGCTTTCAACTGACTACTCTCTGTTCTCGTGCTCTGGCCTGGCCCTGCCTCTCGCTTCGTCTCCGCTCCTATCCTCTACTTTACTCTCTGGACTCACTCGCTTATTCATAACTTTTTTGGTTATAGATTTTTGTCGACCCCTAGCCATACCCGCCGTCACCTTTCCACCACACTGTAGTGTATCATCACTGTATCTGTATCTCCATCCACACCCCCCACGATGGGGCCTCCACCATCCCACTCTGCCTCCTCCGGTTACTCCTCACATGCTCCGACTGTTTCAGTTTTTCAATTATTAATGGTGGCCATTAGTGCGCGCGCCGTTCGACCGGCCGCTTCAACCCCGCCTCCGAGCCAAGCCACCCCTTCTCTATACACTCCGCACTCATACTCATACAATCACACACACACCTTCCGCCTAGCCTCGTGTGCCTGCCGCCTCCTCGTCCCGGGTGTCGTGTAGACGTTTTTTCCTTATCGGACAAATTGTGTTTGTCTGAAAAGTTCAATGAGGTGCGCGCACCACTGCAATTGCACTCTGTCCAGGGCCCCGAATACCCCCATTCCTATTGCCATCCCCCCCAATCAAACAGCCATCGCGTCCATTCCGTCATATTTATGTTATCGACATATAGATAAAAATCATGTTGGTATGCACGATTCAACCGATAGCAAGCCAGCACAACCCCGCATCCCGCAGCATAGCGGAAATGTATTGCATTAGGAGAATTGCCCCCGGGAACGGAACTCCGGCTCTAGCTCAGGCTCTGCCTCTGTCAGGTCTGCCTCTCCGCCTCTTTCACTACGGAGTTGTTGACTAATTTACCTCGAGGTGCGTGTGGGATTTGGGTGTGGAAAGTTGTGCGTACTCTGTATCTACTATGTATTCATCTGTGTATCTGTGTGTGTGTGTGTGTTTGTGGATCTGATGTGAGAATTTTCTATTTTCGTTCATGGCATAGCACTAGTTCGGGTATTGAATGTTGAACTGGAAAAGCGATAAGCAAAGGCGGTTACTCACTGAAATGAGCAAAGATTCCGACACTTCTGAGGAAGAGTTCGTTGTGCAAAAACCTGACAAATGCACGATAAAGTTATGAATGCAAACACTCACGGTGGGTATCCGGTGATGGGACAGCTGTGTCACCATCTGGCATTACTTCATATGGTGTACAAATAGATTCATGAAATTCAAATACGATGATTGCAAGGCTTTCCAAGATGTCTGTCTTGAATACAACTTGTTCACCTTCGTAGAATGGTGTAGAAATTTCGATGATTCGCTGTACAAAATGTTCCATAAGCAAGTGGACTCTTACGCCATCAATGACACTAACAAAGACCGTTCGTCAGAAATGCTTGTCTATTTTTGTATGATGTCAGAATATGGTTCAATAATCTGTAAATCGAGAGTTAATGTGAGATTTAATGTTGATGGACAATTTCCCATCTTATTTGTTGGTTGTAAAACCATTTTTGGCCTGAATATTGTCCTGCTTATGGAACTGCGTTGGTTACCAGATATAAATCAAATCTAGCTATAATCCTTCTTCTTAAGTTCACTCTTAAATTGATTTTGTGGATTTCAAATGGAGAGCTGGGCCAAATAACAAATAAAAGTACATATGTACATTTGTATCTACCACTAAATATCAGATATGAACAAATTGTTCAGCAATTGTTTTGTGTTGGAAAAGCTCTTTGAATGTCTGCGTTATTATCCCATCTAAGCCGCACTTAACCCCAGTCTGGCCGCCCTTGGCACTCGATACACATGTGGCCATAATAGCAAGGACATCATTTACCGAAACCCGAAGCAGAAGCAGAAGCAGAGACAGAGGCAGAGACAGACAGAGACCCACACCATGCCACCTGAAAACCAATAAAGTCATTTCACACACATTAACCCAACTGAAAGCAACAATACACACGCAACGGCAGCCCAGGGATTGATATTGGGTGTGGGTTTTGCGATTGGGTTTGAGTTTTGGGACCGGGACATAGTCCATTTGATAATTGCACGGAGGTGTTTCGGACCATGCGCATCTTCCAGACTCTTTGTCGTTCAGCTCAATTCTCCAGCTCCCCCCCCAAACGAGAGATGGCATTGGGCAAACACATGCGAAACGCTGCTGTGCTCGGTCACATATGTTGCCCAAAGTGATTATTTTCACTAAAAATAAACGAAATTAATGATTGATGAAGTGAGACAAGGGAGCACTGGGAGCGACGGATATATTGCTGCCATTACCCTAACCCCCTTTTGAAAGAAACATCAGCAGGCCCGTCAACACAACAGCCACAACCCCAGCAGCAGGCAGTCGTCGCAATTTCCGAATTTCAATTTCAAATCGGGGAATCGTGGAAACTCTTGCAAAGAAATGAGCATTGAGCGCAAACAAAGGGGAAAACAGAGAATGGAGAACGGAGAGCGAAGAACAGAGGACAGTGCAATCGTAATGAGAAATAAGCCCGTCGCATAAAAGAAAAGTGTCGCTTAATTGAAAGCAGGTGAAGCAGGAGATATTTTGGACACGAGATGGCCGGGATACTGGTGTACTTACCGTGGGGGAGATACGGACAATGTTTCTTTGTGGCCAAGCCGCTCAGCGCTGTCACTGCCAGACGGAAATCATAAAAATGTTGCATAAAAATATTTTTTATGTGTTCGGCTGGTGGCTGCTGCTGCTGCTGCTGCTGCTGCTGCTGGTTCTGCCACAGTGCCACTGCCATTTCCATTTTCATAGCCATTGCCACCGCTTATGCTGCTGTGGCGTCTCTGGGATCTTCTTCTAGGCAGTCCGGGGCGAAAATAATAATAAAATGGGAATAAAATAAAGCAAGTAAAAGAAGAACTGAATGGTGGAACTGAACGGAACAGAACGGAACGGGTGCCGTGCCACATATTTCGTTTATATTTACTTGACAAGTTTTTTGCACTGCGTCGAGACGTCTCCGGGCTCCGGGTCTGCGTCTCTGGCTGTGTCTGAGAGTGGGGGCCGGGCCTGCATGGTGCTCCTCTTGCTGGGACCTGAGACTACCCGTGTCTTGGGTAGACCGTTTGCCATTTTTGGCGGCTGCTTCGTAGCGCCGCTCCACGTCATCAACAACATCATCAGCACGGGCTCTGCAGTTGTAGCTGTAGCTGTGGCTGGGGCTCTTTCTGTTTTATAGTCCAAACGTGATAGCAAAATGTGCCTCTGCCTGTGTGTGCTCCGTCTACCCATCCGCAAACCCCTGCTGTTCGGTGCTCTGTGCATTTTCGTGCAGTTCCGAGTCTCGAGTTGGTCTTGGGCATTTTTCCTTGGAGCTGGGAGCAGGGGGGACGCCGTGCGCGCCTTGGAAAAATAAATTAATGGAAAACATGCAAACATAAATTCTCTTTAGCTGTCAGGTGTTTCACATTTTAAACGTAAATTATAAATAAGCAAAGTAAAATTATAATTCCACCTAAATGTTTTATTTGCCACCGTCTGCTGTCATTTCGGGGGCCCAGGCCTCCGTCTTCGTCTTCGTCTCCGTCTCCTTCTGTCCTTCAGCTCGTTTGTACCACAGTCCAACACAAGTCTTGTCCCACCTCTTGGAGCATTTCTCTTTCTTATTGTGGCACATTTCTTTTGTGGCATTTTCCTTCTCTATGTGTGTGTGTGTGTGAGTGGGGGGAGAATTAATTTTATTCAAATTAATGATGAAGCTTATAATTGGCCTCGTTTTTTCCTTCTTATTTTTTTGTCAGCTTTTTCAGCATTTTCATTTTTAAATAAAGACTCTCCACTGTATGCCATCGTCATCGTCAGTTCCCTCATCATCGTCGCCATCAGCCACAGCCCAGCATCTACGGGCCCTGCTGGAGCTGGAAATGGAGCTGGAGAGATGATGGGAATGGGGCTCCGACTTTTTAAGAGCATTTTGACATGACTTGGGCTTCATTTTCCATTCGATGCGCCGCCTTCACTTTGATTATGACGTGAAGTGAAGTTGGCCAAGTGCAAATACTTTGCTGGTACTTTTTAATTAACTTAATTAGCATAGATGATGGGCTAAGAGGAGCGCTTACACAACATCAAAATTGCATTATGCCTCCTCGCATGGGTTCGGATGAGAGTCTCGCTATGTGTGTATGTGAGGGCTGAGGAGCGCTCTTTGATTTAGATTCTTTGGAGCATAATAAATTCTTGAACGAAACTTTCGTGACATAATGCATGAGACACACATCACATCCATGGGCAGACTCTTGAGACTCCTAGGAACAGGAAACGCTTTTGGATTCTCCTAAACCCTGTTTAGATGTGCTCATGAAAATGTGCTTAAAATTCACATGTATTCACATTATCGATTGGAAAAGTTTGGAGAGCAAACCTTAAACAGTTTCCTGCCTGTAAGAAAATCTTGAAATTGGTACATTCCTGCAGTTGGCTGCACTTTGACGGCTCCTCTCTAAACTTTAGACGTTCAATAGATAGAAAACAATTGATAAAGTTGTGGAAAAGTTCAAGAAAATATGTTACATTTTTCGTGCAAATCTATTTTATATTTTGAAATTTCATTCACTCCAAGACAGAGCCTTGGTCGAGTGGCAATGTGGTACGTCTCGCACAGACCATGTATTGTGTTTTAGCTCAGGTTGTCGAAGCAATTGGAGTAGTTCCAAGCAATGCCTTGCCCACCGCTGATCTACACAACTGATGAGTGTAACCAATTTATTTTTGATCAATTAATAAACTCGCATCTATTTTCATGGTGTGGCTGAAAAAGCTCTCATGCAATATGGAAATTAAGGCTGACCCTCGTGCTGGTCGTCTTTTCCGCTTGGGGCACACGCAGAAGAATCCAAATGAAAAACTCTCAAGTGGTTGTTTTGGGAGTGAGAGGAGATTCGATTGGTGTTCCGTTCCGTTCCGTTCCGTTCCCGTTCGCTTCGCTACGCTTCGGTTTCCCCCTATCTGGCTGGAGGCGCTAAATGCAGGAAAATGTAATAGCGGAAGAGGCGCTGATGAGGGGCCATGATCGCTGGTTGAGGAGATAGGCAGATGGGGAGGTGCTGCAGACATTTGTATACCAATATATCGATGCGTATAAATTTTGTCTAATTTTTTTATGGCGCGTGATTTTTGATTTACGCGTCGTCGGGCATTTTATTTCGATTGGAAGTCTCCACTCTCTTGCTGTTCCCAGAGCCCATATTTATTTTTATTGCTTTTTAATGCGCCGCCGAGGAAGTTTTGGTATCTTTTTGTGTGGCAGGCAACTGTATTTGGATGCCATCCGATGAACAATGAATTTTGTGGGATTATTTATATATGCGTCGAGTCGCTGGGCCCCGTCCCGGCCCGTTGCTAGAGTGACGATGCGGTGGCGCTTTATTTAAAATTCAAATTCGAGGCAGTCGCCAGAGTTGTTGCTTGCCTTTGCCACCTTATATCATATTTACTTGGCTGTGCCACACAGCATGTTTGTACTTTATAATAATAAAATATTCCACTCTTGTCTCGTGTATCTTGCCCCACAGGATACGGCGCACCAGGAGCATCAGCATCAGCAGCAGCAGCAGCAGCAGCAGCAGCAGCAGCAGCAGCAGCGGCAACAAATGCATGCAGCAGGCAGGATAGCGGCGGGCAGCAGCTCTAGCTCTGGCTCTGGCCTCAGCGGGAACACGTCCACATCCACATCCAAGACGAGAGCAGGAACAACGTCGTTAATCTATTTACCGCCTTTCTGCTATCCATGTAAGCATGTGCCTGCGGCCGGCAGCAAGAACCAGACCCAGACCCAGACCCATACCCATAGCCAGACAAGGAGCGATGGCAGAAGGAGCTGCCACGGCAGCTGCTGTTGTCAGCATTACTGGGAACATAAAAATTATGATAAACAAGCTTCAGCGTCGACTTTGACACCATCTACAGCCACGGACACAGCCGCAACTAGGACCAGAACCACAGCAACGGGAATGGCAACAATGTCCCACTCCTACCCAAAAAGAGCCGAGAAATTCCTGCAGCAGCAGGAAGAGCAGCAGGAGCATAGTTGCACCGATCTCAGACAGACGTTGCAATTAGTTGTGCCAACTGTTGTGGGTGGCAGCAGAGCCCTGGAATGTGGCGAGACCAGGCGTCAGGCGCCCGCGGCTACGACGGCGGACCAGCGATGCTGGCGACGTGACCGAATGCGACGTGAAAGACCAAGTCATGCGTCTGCAGCCACACTGGCCAAGGTAAATCCAATCAGCAGTGGTGCCGCAACAGCTGAAGCAGCTGCAGCAGCAGCAACAGCAGCAGCAACATTGAGAGAATACAATTCGCAAGCAACGACAAGAACTGTGGTGGTGGCGACTCTGGCATGGGGCACAACTGCCGCAGAGCTGCCGCATGATGAAGACGCCGCAGCAGCAGCCACGGCAACTACTCCTGCTGATGATGCAAAGGAGGAGAACGACTATGAGTATGATGAATGTAGGTGCTTTAACTATAACGGTGATATTAGTCTGGAGCGAGAAAAGGAACAACAGCAACAACAACAACAACAACAGCAGCAGCAGAATGAAGAGCCCCAGCAACTTTCCCGCAGCAGCAGCAGAAGGAGCAGCATTACGTGGCTGATATTCTTGTGGCAGCAGCTGCTTCTGCAAGGCGATGGAAACAAAGCCTCATCCGGGGACACCAACTCCGACTCCGACACCCACACCCACACCCACTCCAAGTGCTCCGAAAGGACAACGACGAGAAGGAGCCACAGCATGACGTCAACAAAAAGTTGGCTTGGCCCGCTGCTAATGCTGGTGCTGGCCACGTCCGTCAGTGGCTGGGGCGGCCGACAAGATGGTAAGTAAAGTAAAGTGCAGCTGGGGCCACAGTCAGAGGGCAGAGGCACAGGCACAGGCATATAGCCGCATGCCGCGATAAGTAGCGTTATGATAAGAATTTATAATTTCGCCCAAGAAACAACCTCCACCCAACCTCCAACCCCATCGAGCAGGCATCTCTCGGGTGCCACAACCACGAAATTCCCCAATCCACAAAACATTTCATTTAATTTTGAAGGCATAATTTGTAGCGGGGCAACGGAGCGTCAGCTGGCAACCTCTTGCTGGCACATGCCTCTCCCGCTTGCCACTTCCCATTCCACAGGCACTCCTTCCCTACTGCTACATCCCTCTGTCCTCCTCCTACTCCACGGTCATGCTCAATTGAATCCATAAGTAGTTTGTGACCGCAGATCTGCGTTCGTTTAATGCGTTTCAACTGTTTCTCCCTGAGCGAATTTACCCAAAAAAAACAACAAAAAAACAATCGCTATATATACTATATAGCGAAGCAGCAACAGCCGGAGCGGCAACAACATCATGCAACATGGCAAATTGTACGGAAATTGCCCGAAACAAACAGGCAACGACCGCCGACGCTGCCGCCCAACCACCGACCGACCAACCGACCAACAGACCGCTGACCATAATTCACTCAAGTTAGACAAAAGCATTTTGGTTGCCACTGCCATTGCCCCTCCTACCATTCCGCCTACACACCCGGCGCTGTCTGTCCATCCATCCGTCTCCCTGGCACTTGGTTTTACGGCTGGGCTGCAAAGCGAAAGTCCAAAATCCCGAGCCCGAGCCCGAGCCACAGCCCAAAACGCAAACGCAAATGAGTCTCCGGGTAAAGCGTCATGCTCTTTGAGTTCTATGAACAGTACTTTTGTATCTATGTATTTGTCTATATCTACTCTGTACGTGTGTGTGTGTGTGTGTGGTGTGGGTATGGGGTGTGCGTAAATCCATTCAATAGGGGTGGTCCCTCCCTCCAGTAATGGTGGCTCTTGGTGGCCCTCTAACCGAACTCCATGGAGAAGGGAAACACTTGAAATTGTGCACACCCATAAGTGTGGGCATTATAATTGGGTTAAGGAGTTGTTAGCGCGTTCAAGTTGTCATTATAGATCAAGCTGGATAGATAAGATAAGTGTATGTTGGGAGCGATTGCCAGTCGAGGAAATTGCCAGTCATAACAGGAGAGGCACTAAACAGAATAGAACAGCCACGACCCGACAAGATGATGATAGAGTAGGGCGTCGGGAAATTGATTCATAATTAATATGGCGTTGTATATTTCCCCATTACTCTTACCCCTTGATTACGAGAGCGTATTCACTCAGAGGAAAGTGACATAAACATAGTAAAAGTAAAAGGAAAATACATCTATAGTCGACTTTTTTTTTAGCATATTCTTATCTCTGTGTGGCCTGAGATTCTTTTAGAACAACACATGTACGTGTCAATGTTTCCTTAAAGTCACTTAATTCCTTATACAGAGGCCCAAAAGCTACGCGAGATTTATTTGATTAATGCACCTGATTACTGTCAGTTTATATGGATACGATGCTCCATTCTGGGCGTCGCATAACTCTTTCCGAATTTAGCCTCTTTTTTTTATATATTTTTTTTTCTTGCTCCCACAGAAATATTCCAAGCTGGTATACTTTTTCTGTTTTCTTTCTTTTTTGAGCCCACTCTAATCCATTCGGAAAGTACACACCACACACATACCGAATATGGACGAGTTTATCGTATCTCCTCTCCGATCCCCTCCGAACTGTCTATACGCATTTGTACGCTTGTCTGTCTGTGTTTCTGTTTGCTTTTAGCTCGTATTTACTTATGCTTGTCGTCCTGCAGCATATTTCAGGGGTAGCGAATTAAGGGCGAAGGGCAACGTGCTGCTGGGCTGCGGATTCGGAATCGGTGGCAGCGACAATAGCCGCAGCAGCAGCAGCAACAACAGAGGCAACAACAGCCATCGTGCAGCACTCAGGCAAAAGTATTGAATCATGTTGGAAAATTATTCACGGTACTTCAAATTGGCGAAACAATTATTCCTCGGGTCTGCTGAGCGGCGGGGAGGTTTCTGAGCTCTGGTTTCTGGCTGCCCAGCTCGGGGCGGTGGCAGCCCTGCAAAGTGTGCTACACTTTTCACACAATCTGCCCCCCGCTGTGCGTATGGGGCCGCATTATGACAGCCAGAAACAGCAGCGTGGCAGGGGCATGGGCACTGGCAGTGGCAGCAGTGGAATACCCCTCGTAAAAAGCACAAGTCATTGGACAACACACAGTCAAAGCCACAAGTACATCCACAGGCACGGCTACAGCTAAAGCTAAAGCTACAGCTCCAGCCACGGCCAGAGGTCTCGAGGTCTGAGCTGCGGCTCAGTCAGGCTCAGAGTTCAGAGCGCTGCTCCTGCGCTGATCCTGCGCATGAGTACCTTTTGTTTGCCGCAAATGTAAAAACAAAAGGAAAATAACAGCTAAGGGGGTAAAAAACACAAAAATCAACAAGAAAAAAAAAAAGTAAAATAAAAGAAAGGAAAGGAATAATAAAATAAAATGTGTATCGCTGTAAGGACGAGGGTACGGTACGGGTGTGGGTACGACTGAGTGTGGCACGGCACCGTGTTGCCGCTGTCGTTGATGTTGCCTCTGTTCGCTGCCTCAGTCTCAGTCTCAGTTCGGCTTCACTTTGTGCGCGCACATTCGTCTCTACTTGGGAGTTCTCTGTATTTGAATGCGTAGCCGCTCTTCGGTTCGGTCCGACTCCAGTCCTTAGGTCCTCAGGTCCTCCATCACCATCAGCATTTCCATTTCCATCTCCGTTTCGGTTCCTGTGACTATGACTGTGCTTGTGCTTCTGCCTTGTTCCACCCCTAAAGCGCCCAACTCCCTGCCACTGCCACTGCCACTGCCAATCCTGCCCAAACATTAAGCTACATATATGTATGTATGTATGTATATATGTGCACAGAGGGTGGTTTTACCATTTTCTATATGTATGTATATGTACATCCTTGTTTCTATTGTGTCCCTGCAGTTCCTAAAGTGAAATGTCACTCGTGATTCTTTCGTTGAATCACGCGTGACAGTGTCCGTGTCATATCGTGACTCACTGGTGAGATTCCATATGAAAACTGTATGGGATATACGCCAATACACCAGTGACACCGTGGTTTAAATGGTTAAATGGCAATAAGCCAAAAATTAAATCAACAGTGACATGTCACTGGTGACTTTATAATGGGCATGTCCTACCTCAAAATATGTCCTACCTGAAATCACCACTGACATTACAAAATATGCCATGCATGAAATCACCAGTGGCATCTTAAAATATGTCTCACATAAAATCACTGTCTGACTGTCCGTCCTGTTGAGCGCCTAGTTCTCATAGACCATAAGAGCTAGAGAATATAAGCTATGCATCCAGACAGCTGTAATATCAAACTGTTTCAAGAGCATATCAAAATTTCGACATGCCCTCTCCCGGCCCCACATAGGGCGAAAATCTGTGGCACCCACAATTCGAAATATTAGAGAAAACCTAACAAATAGTTCTGTAGAAAATGGTTATATCTATCAGAGTCCCGAATCAGATCGGATCATTATGACGAAATTCATATTTAGTGGCTGTCAGAAATCTATTTCTTGAAATATCTGCTGATGTCGACTTCGGCAAAGCCGAATGGTTCATACATAGGAAAATGTTCATTCATCAGTGCAGGGGTGGGATGTACTCGAAGTTGTACTTGTACTTAAGTCTCTTAGTGTGTGTGTGTTTGTGTGTGTGCAAACTTTCCTGTTACGTTTCTTTTTCTATACTTGGGCTTGACTCGGCTTGAATCGCTTCCCCACCATTACTCTCCTCTCAGCTTGCTGGTTCGTTCCTTTATGTTCCTTTTCATTTCCTAAAAGGGTATTATAATTTTGGTCTGATGTTTGTGACGCATCAGAAATCATTTCATTGAGATGCCATCGGATCTGTCTCCCTGTAATTCCAAAGCAAAAGTGCAAAAAAAGTGCATCTCTGTTCGCTTATGGGAAATTTGAACCCTCAATTTAAATGCCTGAATATGCTCTAGAGAAAACGCAAGGGCATACAGTTTTCGGCGATCAGATGTGTTTTGTTCTCTCTGTCATTTTTTTTTTAATATTCACAATTGCCATTTTGGTAGTTATCCCTCTCCACAACCCACCCTCCGTCCGTGATTGTGTGTGTGTGTGTGACATTATTATTACGAGCAGTTTTTGGTTGCTTTGCTTGTACAACGTTCAACTTATTTATGCAAGGGAAGGAAGGCAGGCTTCCTTCCCTTCCCTTAGCGTTGAAAACCCTAACTACCCTGCCCACCAGAGGCTCGGTTAGAGGGGTCGTAAATGTGAGGCCCCTTATGCGCACGCACTTAAATACAATCATAATAATAATTGAAACAATTTACAAATTAAAAAGCCACAAATCTTGGCACCAAACTTGACAATACAATTAGAAGAACCAAAGACGAAGAAAGTGTGTAGCCGAAATCTGTACAGGAATATCCATCCCCCAATGCAATACTCTCAAATGTACGGGTACGAGAGTACCCGAGAGTAGGAACATTTTAAGTACTTGTAAGCACTGGTATTATAATAAATAAATGTGCATACAAACGCATTTCATTGATTACTGCTGCCAGGCAAAAGATTGCTTCGGTTGCTCTTTTATGGTTCTTATCTGGAGGTCTCTCTCCTCTCTCTCTTCTCTCCTCTCTCATTGCTCTCTCGTTAAATGAACAATGAACGCAATTGAGGTCGCCTGGCGCTGCCCCTTGGGGCGTCAATTGGAATATAATATCTTAATGTATTAATGGTTGAGTTGTGTATTTTTTTATTAATAAATTATGATGTTTTTTGTTTTGCCTTGCAGCTCCCACAAATTGCACATTTCCGGCTCGATGGGAGGGCTCGTGGTTCCTGTCCGGCTATCAGCAGTCCATACACATCAAGGGATCACAGTTTAGCTATCGCGGCAGGTGTGCGGCCTTCGATGGTAACAAATATCTGATTGTCGATGAGTAAGTACCCGCCGTCCAGAGCCCAATGCTCAACAATATAATATGCTAACATATCTCGACCCAATACCACTCGATCCAACAAGAAAATTCCAGAAGATGATGAAGAAAAAAGAACAAGAGAAGTTGTGGATGATGATGGAGATTCCATGTTATATGTGTACAAATAATCGTATATATTTTTCTTTGTATTTTGTTCGTTCTTTGTCCAAAAGTGCCTATAATTGAATAAGTTTTCATTTCTCACTGGAGAAAAGGTGCTTGTCTGTGTGTGTGAATGTGTGTTTGAGTGTGTTTATTTGATAGAGACTGTGTGGAAGGTATAGGGCTCCCTCCGAACCAACAGTAACCCCCCCCCCCCCCCCACCAATGACGGTGATGAAAATGGAGGGAAATGCAGCACTAACCTCATTAAAAAGAAGCCAGTGAGCAGCACACAAACAAAGCCGACAGAGAAGGGATAGGATAGAGGCATCGACAGCAGCAGCGACATGCAGACATATAGACATACATATTGTATGTACAAGTACGAGTACCATCTAAAACCTGTCGTCAACCTTATCGCTGTCGTTGTCGTTGTCGTTGTCGTTGTCGCCGTCGTCGTTCCCTTTCCCTTTTCCCTGCCAGCTGCTGCCTGCCAACTGCTCGGCTCGGCTCTTAACTTTCTGCCTGTGAAACGGGTTTGTTTGCCTCACCATGCCGCCATGTCCTCTCCATGTCAATGGCGCTCTGTCTTGGCAGAGCGCGATGTTCGTAATTCGGATGTTTGACAAGAGCCCAGTCGTGTACCCGTACCCCAGACTACCCAACCAATCCTATCCATAGATACATATATATTAGATATAGAGATGTGTATGTCTGTATGTGGATGTGCAGAAAACTAAATCAAACTTTTTTACGTACCCGTACCCGTACCCGTACCCGTACCCGTACCCGTACACCCCCCTCCAAGTATGTACATATTGTGTGTTTTTAATTTAGAAAACTGCCTTTTGCTATACCAACCCAATCTCTTTCTCTAACTATCTTTCTACTACGAATATTTGGCAGCAACTTTTGCTTGCTACGCCTGTTGTTGTTCATTTTCCTTCCACTGCATTTTCATTTGAAACGTTACGAAACGAAAACCAAAGAAATTTTAAACGAAAATTGCTTTCCATTTTGGCCATTCCTTTTGCTTCGAACTCGAATTTCTCTTTTTGTTGCCTTCCTTCCGTATGAATGTTTTTGTGTATTCCACCAAGAGAAATGTGAAAAAAAACAATTAAAACCCCTTTTAAGCTGCTTTCCTTAATGCAAAATCAGAAAACAAAAAGCCAAACAAGAACAATGAATTACCCAAGTGGAGTATTATTTTTGGAATTTTTTGCGTTTTGCCTTGTTCATGCTTATAAATATTTAATAAACATATGAATAATCCTAACCGTAAGCTAAGTTTTTCCGTTGTAGCTGAAATGTGAAAATGTTTTTTGATTTTTCTTTCACCAACAAAAAAAATCTCCTTTGCATACGAAGAATATGTTTGTCCTTTTTGCGATGTGTTGCTGCTGGGAGGGAAACTCCCAATCTCAACCAGCTTCAACCCCCGATTCAATTCGATTCGATGCCATTCCATTTCCTTCCGTTTTGTACATGTTTTTGTCGTATACAAAATAATATTTTAATTAATTATCGTAAACATATCGAGTGCCATTCACTCGTACTACTATAGTATCCACTAGGAAACTAACGAAACTATATCAAAACAGAACCCAAATCAAAACTATTTATTTTTGAAACGTTTTCCATTTAAATATATGAACAATATATTATGATATTTTTCAAACATCACTTTTCAACAAAACATATATATTTTGTGAGTTTTTTCGTTCTTAAGTGTACGTCCTTTAAGTTCGTTTCGATAATCATTTTGATTACCTTATACTCGAAATATTACATCAACCTCGTAATCGCTTTTCCAAGAACCATAACCAATAAACCGATTAACATGTGAACAAACCCGAGACATGGTTTCCAAAATAATATAACCCGAGATATGAATGCGTATCTAATTCAAAAATATGTCTAGTTTCGGGTCTGGGCCACGTTTCTGGGATAAGAATAACCCATTAACTCAAAAGACATTTGAGAGTAGGCGGCGGGGTGACGCCTCAGTGTGTGTTTCCTTCTTGTTTTGCACCCAGTACACCCTAGGGATGTTCCTAGTCTAATATACCAAACAATAAACAAACTCTAAACACTAACCCACAACCCAAAAAACTAATTGAATACTAAACAAGAAACATGAAACATGATTAATATCCATACTATACCGATATACAATACAATACAAATACAAACTTTTCGTTGCAACCAATAAACTCTTTTAGGAAAGGATGTCATCGTTGCCTGGTAATCTATGAGAAGCATACGAATGTGCTCCAGTATAAAGAAAGTGAGTGCGAAGGTGATAGTATGTATATGCATCAGTCGAACCCATCTGCACTGGCGATGCGTAGCTCTAATAAACAAAGTGATCATAGGGGGGGAGCTCATCCCAATACGAACGGGCATTCAAGACTATCATCATCGGATCAGTACATAATGAGATCCAATGACGATATGAATGATTGTAAGCATTAATTTTTTACTTTTTTCTCTACCTCTCTCTCTCTCTCTCTCTAAAATAAGTTAAGAAAAAAAAAACAAAAAAAGCAAGCAAACTAAACTGAAAATACAAAAGACTCTATCTCCTTACTCGCTATCTCAAAATATACCAGTTATCTGTTCTGTTATCGTTTCCACCTATTTTGAACATCATTCCCTTAGTTAACCAAACATGACTAACATAACCTTATGATTTAAGCGCTATTTTCATTTACCCCCCACCACCACCACCACCAACCCACAAAACGAGAATACAAAAGTTTTTCGTTCCGTGCAAATATAAAAAAAGATCAACTGAAAAGCAAAAAGATGAAAACACGTCGTTCTCAATTATTCCACTCTTTTTAATGAAAACACACACGAAACAAAAGCAGGATTTTAATCGATTCTTTTGGTACTTACAATAAGTTTAATTTGATTTATTTTTTTATTTTGTTCCACCTATTTTTTATATTTCTTCATAATTTGATTATGATTTGTTTTCGAATTATAATTTTTAATGCAACCTTTGTTTTATTATACAAAACAAAACAAAAAAAAAGAACAAAACAAAAACAAAAACCAAACCAAACTTGTAAATAGTCTCAAACAACAATTACTCTGCATACGAAATGAATAAATAATTCTACTTTACTTACGTTTTGTCATGGCAAGGGTCCTCTCTCTACCTCTCTCTCTCTCTCTGTATATCTCGAACTCACTCTAACAAACCAATCAAAGCAATCAAGTCAATCAATCAATCAATCAATCAATCGATCAATCAACTAAAAGTGTACATCTAACAACAAAATATATATATATAACAACCAAAAGAAACAAATGAACAAAAAAATGTATATTTTCCTCAACATATTCCCTTAAAACAAACAAATAAAAATAAAAACAATGCTACAAATTAAACTACTCGTACAAATATTAATATTAACTTAACTTACCGTTAGTGTCAATCCAATTAAGCATCTTAGTTGCGATTTGCAAGCATATTAGCGGATTAGCAGATTAAACCCGTCCCAACAGGCACCCAATTAGAAACCAAAACCGAAACTGAAACTGAAGCCGCACGAACAATCAGGTCTAGCCTAGCCAGCCAGCCACTATTACAGAATTCGGAATACCCTAATAACAGAACCCAACCATGCGACAGTCTTGAATTCCATTCAAATCGAAATCGTAACAATAGAAAAGCCAAATCTAAGCACAGCAAAGCAAAATTTATACCCTTCCACCCGTAATCCACTGAAAAAGAAGAAAAACAGGAAACTATAACCAGTTTTAGTTAAGAACTTTGGTTTTCCCCCTCTCTCTCTCTCTCTATTTTCATTTTAGTTTTCCCTTGGTTTACGTTGGTCTTTGGGCCACTTTTACGTTTCACTTGTATTGTAAATAATTAACAAAATACAAACCGAAACAATCAAATTTTGTAAATATATAAAAAGAAGAGCAAAAAGACAAACACAAGACTGTTGATAAACGAAAAAAAAAAAACCAAATTGTTTGTTCCATATATATATTTTTTATTACCAAACATTTACATACATATATATCTAAATATATAACTCAACTCTATTCAATATTTATATGATATGTATATTTTCCTTAATTCAACATTTTCAACAACTCCAACAACAGCAACTCCAGCAATTCCAGAAATCCAAAAGAACCGAAACCGAAAACCAAAACTACTACAACTCCAAATCAATTCAGAACAATTCAAAGTTTAAATGTGAATACCACGATGAGTGTTTGTTTATATGTATGTAATTGTGTGTGTGTGTGTGTGTGTGTGCGTGCGTGTGTGTATGTGTGAATGTTGATTAAAATACCAATATAGATGAATACTAATAACAAACAAGAGGTGTGCGCACACACACGCACAGAGAAATTTGATTGGATTTTGGTTTTTGAAATTTGCATATTTGAAATTATTGTAAAATTTTAATAGCCGCAGCAAAGTCTCGTTGCACAGTTCATTTCGCGTTTGCTCCATATATTTATGTATATATTGTACATAGAACCAAAGCAATAAATATCCAACCCCAAAACCCACACACATTCGTGTAGACAAGCTTGTATTTAGTTGCGATCCCCAGAGGAGCGACAGCAACCCATTCACTCATTTGTAAATAACTTCATCTCCACTCTCTCATGACAAAACCCTCAGAAACCAACCCCCACACCAGAGACACACGACCCAGAGTCAGAGTCAGCATCATAGTCAGAGTCAGAGTCAGAGTCCGGGGAATAGGCTGAACCAGTTCACCCAAATTGTATTCAACTTTTAGATGATTATATTTCCAATAGGATCCCAGTACCCTGGAGAGCAAAACAGTCAGTCTGCGCCTAAGTTCTTGATTCTTGCCGTTTATTTTTTCGCTTCATCTGGTTTCACATTCAAATCATCTTCCGTACTCGCTCATCAACCCACTCATGTCTGTCGCTTGTTTTACTTACTCTTACCGGGAACATGATTTATTTATAGGTCGCTCGGTCGGTCGAGACGGAGTAAATGAAAATGGAAATGCGACACCAAGTGTCAAAGTGTTTTCTCTTAATTTCCAGCAGGTTGAGTACTCTGTATTACGCTGTGTAATAAGTGCGAGTATCTAAGAATATGCTTAGTAAGAGCTCAGTTCAGCCACCCCAGGCTAGCTCCAATTGAAAGGCTCTGCCTGAAGTACCCCACTGACATATGTATGTACATGCATACAAGATATGTATGCATATTCTTCCCATAGTCGTAATTCGTTGGTAATTGCTATAATCCGCTTAGTTCTTGATCAGGTAGCGAGCTTTTCCTGGGCCTCCAGTGCACCTAATTACGGCAAGAAGATGCAATTAAGTCTTGGCATAAGGAGGCTAGCACCTGACACATAATGCAAGTAGAAACAGCAGCACAATCTGAGAGTGCCACCTCCCACTTTACTTCACTCCACTCCACTCTAATACAATCCATTCGCATTTGTGCTCGGCTCAGCCGTGGCAAGGTCTGGCGGCGTTGGTAACACAGCACGCATAGAAATGTAAATTCATTATTTATTATTTGTTTGCCTCAATAGAAATCAAATTAGTTTAAGTGGCGACCCACCAGCACACTGGCACCAGCAACAGCACCAGGAACACCAACAGGCACAGCAACATCCATATCCACATCACCGTGAGCTCTTGGCCCAGAGCGTGGCCAGACAGTTGGACTCGAATTGGAAAACGCCAAGTCAGGGCACGCCCATCCACCTAACCCAACTCCACCCATCCTTTCATTTGATATTTTCAAGTTGATATTTCCACTTGCACCGACCGAGTGTCTGAATGTCGGACTGTTTGACTGTTTGACTGGCTGTCTTGGCTGCCTCGTGTTGCCTTCCGCCTGCCTTCCTTTTTTCCTTGATTTGATTTTGTTTAAATATTAAACGAGAGTTTTAGGTCTCATTTATAATTCAAAAGCCTCGAAGGCAACAAGCAGTCGGGCACTGGAGGCCGTCCCCAAACAGATCAGAGATGGCTGGGGCGGGGCGGTTTTCAGTTCATTTTGATTAGCAGACCGTAAAACAATAGTATCAATGCCACAATAGAATTGCGTGTGTGTGTATGTTCTTTATTAAATCATTATTTGTTTAGATTTGTCACACAATCAGAAGTACACACACACGCGATTGTGTGTGTTGTGAGAATGTTTGCATAAAAGAGCAGCTCCTGGCTCTGAGCTAAAGATTTCTTAATACTTCTTCCATGCCATTGAAGCTGATTTAATACGCTTTAAATTGAGATTTTCTACAATAATCTAATGAAATTGCATTCAATTTAGATAGAATTTTTACTGGCCACACAAAGAGATACAGAGACAGATACACATACTCGTGCCCGTACTCGTAATCGCACCCGTACTCACACACACACACACACACACACACTATGTATTCGTGCTGGCAGACTGTACAGAATAATTGGACCTAGACAGTCGACAGTTTCAATTACTGAAGACTTGCACAATGTACAAACAGGATTAACAGGAAAAGCCTTGTTAATTGGTCTACGTCTAATGTAGTGTCGTTTTCACTTGTGTCGAGCATCAAAGGATGTGCCCGGATTGTGTGCGTATCCATGTTGTTCTCTGTTTGTGTGTTGTGTTTTGTGCTCGAAGGATCTGAGCTGTCAATCCAATGAGTTCCTCGATTCATTTGCTTTAACTCTGGTAATATGGGTATCAAAAAGCATTGCATACTTCAAGGCAGCCATCAGCTAACTGCCGTTTAAATTGCATTTTCGAGTACAACTACATAAGAGGTACCCACTCGCTAAGTATCAGTAGAGCCAACCCAGTCAAACAGCCACCCAGCCTCTCAGGCAGACAGTACCTCAGACCCAGCCACAGCCACAGTCCCAGCTACGTTTCGAGTAATTATATTCCCAGAGTTTTTATTTTTGCAGCGCTTTTGGGCAAAGCATTTTGCGTATGGATTGTAGTACATAAGCTGGTGATGGGCTGCCAGCATTTGCATACCAATTTCGCTACCACTCCACACCCAAGTGAGGGGGGAAAATCCACCACGGTTAAAGGTTGCGACGGACGAGAACGGGGCACTCAATGATGAAGGCCAGGCCGCATCGCGTTTTAATTGCAGTGCTGCGCGGTGCGCCGAGCGGTGCGGCGCCAAGTGCAAAAACGTAGGCGGTACATACAAATAATTAAAATAATTAAGCAAAACTACGGCAGGGCTCCAGCCAACACCAAACCACTTATCAATTGAGCAGAGCTCTCCTCGGGTCCACTCCCAGATTCCCGCCACTCCCCCTCTCACTCACCACAGCCATGGCCCGGGGGCGGTTCATTCACTTTTCTTCTCAATGCAATTTTGAACGTTAATTCTTTGCAGACCCGAAATGTTTTTGGGAATTTTACTGGCATTATGAGTTTATTTGGCGTTCCGTCCTCTGTTACTCGCTCCCCCAGAGGCATTTTCCCCGCAT